CATATCAAACTTCATTCGTTAATAAATATTTTGAAAACATTAGAAATTAATGATTTTAATTGTCTTTATGGAGACGATGTAATAACTAACTGTTTAATTGATAAATTAGAATTTTTTTTTCAATTTTTGAGGGTAATATCTTCAACCTAGATACGAATTGTAGTCATTTGACGTATCGTTGAAAAAAGTAGGTCAAGTTAGAGCAGAGAAAATAAATGATAGTCACAAAAAAATATCTTCTCAGCTTTGTATCGAAGCTAAAACTTAAAATATAGTAAAATAATTTTAATATGAATAAGAAATTTTTTCTCGCGAGTGACGACTACAGTGATGGGACCCTTGATCTTTATTGAAGTTATTGAATCCTAATGAGATAAAAATCAAAGCAGTTGAAAATGTATTCTAACTTAAAAAGAATTAATAAAAAATGCAAATAATTCATTGCCATACGCGGGTTGGAACCTTGTACCCCAAGCGTGTAAAACATAAGTTTTACCAACTCGGCATCCATACGTAGCTACAGACACAGAAAAAATTAACTATTTAAGCTAGTTCAAATTTCAATTTCTCACTTCAAAAAACAAAAAAATTTAAATAAGTTTAACTTTCTATACTATCTCAAATTTTTATTTATACAATATTTATAAAAATCTGTACTCCCCTTGTCAGGTATTTTTAAATAAAATAAAATACAAAACCCAGAATTTTAACACAAAAATAGCATTTTTTTTAATACGGTAGTCATTTTTACCATAAAAACAAATCCAGAGGTCAAATTTTTTTTTTTCAAATTAAATTATATTACATAAGCTTTAATTTAAGATATATATAAAACTGTCAGTATTTCTGGAATACTTTCAAAAATTAAATTGAAAATGCCCTAGTAACAATACATATGTTTAAAGTTTTGACCCCCCTTTTATAAAGGGATATGATTCGATTTACAAAAAAAGCGTGTCACATGAAAGGGGTATATAAAAATTTACTATAAAAAAATAATAATATAGATCCATACATTTTTCCAAAAGTTATATAAAATATAAATTAAATAATATAACATATAAAATCGAGATTTTTTTCACGGAAATCGTACGTTTTTCTTTAACTTTGATGTCCGTTTTCACCACGAAGACAAGTCCAGAGGTCAAATATTTTTTTTAAATTTAATTATATTACATTATTTTTAATTTAAGATATATATAAAAGTGACAGTTTCCGGAACAATTTCAAAATTTAAGTTGAAAAAGTTAATTTTTTGGGAAAAATTTGTCATATTAAATCCCCTCTGAGGGCAGGTTAAGTGTCAGATTTACAAAAAAATATACCAAATGATAGGTAAAGTCATCAAGCATCTATAAAAAAAAAAATTATATTGATATGTTCATTTTTAAAAAAGTTATGGCAGTTTTAAGAAAAAAAATTGAAAAAATTAGCGATTTTTAAATTTGAATTTTTTTTGCCCATTTACGGAGAATTTTTTCAATTTTTGAGGGTAATGTCTTCGACTAGATACGATTTGTGATCTTTTGACGTATCATTGAAAGAAATCGGTTCGGTGAGAGCTGAGAAAAAGTGGTAACAGACACAAAAAAAAAAAAAAAATAAAAACATCATATTAAAATTAATATTTTCTCAGCTTCTCATCAAAACTAAAATGTCCAAATTTATATTTAATGTTCTATAATGCTATAATGTGACAATTCAGAGTTTCTTTTAAAGAGTGTAGTTTATATTTGTTATAATTTGTTGATTAACAAAAAAACTAGTAATAAGTAAAAAAAAAAGTAATAAGAAGGATTTAAAAAAATTGTATGTTATCCTTTATCGAATAATATTATATGTAGTTCTCAATTGGTTCAGTTTTAAATCGTATTGCACGTTTTAAAATCTTTATTTAAAAAAAGTTACAAATTATCGGACTTTTTAGAATATTTTAAAAATTTGAGATGAAAGAATATTCTTTTTATGTATGAATGGTCTTGTATACATTTTTCTTAAGTTTATTTTTTAATTTTATTTTCAACAAAGTAATTATTTGTTATATTACTGAGTAAAATTTTGTTTTGATCTAATTTTTCTAAAAATTTCATAGTAATTTTAAATTGCAATAAAAAAATCAATTAATATTTTAAGATAGTTTAATATTTCACTTAATAATAAAATTTGATAACAGTTTTTTTAATTTTTGACGACAATGTTTTTATTAAATATAATTTTTGTTCAGTTAGCGTATTAAACAATAATATCACTCTAGTAAAAGCTAAGAATTTTTATGGATAAAAAAAAATTCACATTATGATAAAATCAATATATATTTACTAATTCCGGATCAAATGTAAAATAACACACTTCTTTTTAAATATACTGATAAAACTAAATAAAAATAAAATATATATATTTAAATAAAAATATTCTTGTTAATTTAATTTCAGTATTCAAAAAAGTATTCTCATTCCCACAATTCCGAAAAACCTAACTCAAGAAATCTATAACATCTATGAAACAAATTTTGCAATGTTGCCGAGGAAGATTGTATTGTTAAGTTAGCAATTCCTGTTTCTGCGTCAAAATTGAATCCAATTTCATCAAACGCTTCTTTAAAAATATCTTCATTAGTTTTGACTAATTTTTCAAGGTATTCCAATTTTTCTTCGTGGGGTAATTTAGCCAAATTAATTGAAGAGGCAAAATCGACCATTTTAATAAAATTTGCTTGAATATTGATTTTATTTATTATGAATAACCCACAATTACCTCTTAAAAACATTTCAATATTAGTTCTAATATAACGCAAATGGTAGTAAAAGTCATTCTCGTTCAAATTAAAATTCCTCCTCAAGTTTCTCAAAGATAGCATAAATATTGCAACTTTATGCCGAATAAAATCTGTACCATTGTATAGTTCATACACAATCCATAATGAAGTGTTCATCATTTCAAAAACCCTATCGTAATTTTTAATAAGTGTTAATAATGCTTCTACGCAAAACCACTGGGTTTTAATCAGTCGACATTGTGTTGCGATAGTAATTAAGAATTCAGAAAAAAATATTAATCCAGTCAGCAAATAAACAACTCAATAACGAATGATATTGCTGTATTTTATATTCTATATTATTTTCATTAACAATCTTATCATCCATTACATTTGCAATTAATTCACTCACTTTGCAGTTTCGATTGTTTGCTACTATACCCGCATTAGGATTTTTTGATATTAAAGTTTTCCACATTGGTTTTTGGAGTAGATATTCCATTTTATCTAACCGTGAGATGTCTGTAGAATTTATTCGTAGTGTGAAGTACCATAATGCTATGATGAAGTAAAAGTATAGGGTATGCATGTTGTGATGATAGCGAGTAAAATAAATAAATTCAATTTGAATAAAAATATTTGACTAATTCATAAATTTTTGGGTAAAAATTAATTTAAAAAAAATATTGATTTTTATTTAAAACCTTCTCTTATTGAATGTTTAATTTTTGGTCTTACATTTAAAATTAATTATAGATAAATAAAATAACTCATTTTGAGATATAAATGTATAAAAAAAATTGTAGTCAACCACCTAAAATAATATACTTGAGTTTCAATATTTAAACAGTCACATATTGCATGTATAAGTACAACAATTTTTAAGTCTGAACTAAAATTTTCAATTAATTATGATATACTGTAAAAGTTCGGTGTAATATTTTAATCAAACATAATAAATTACAGACATTTATAATATCCTAATATTAACAAATGTTTTGTGTGGATTACTAAAAATTCTTTCAACACAACGACATATATAAATTAATTTCAATATTAGTTATTTATAAATGTTGTTAAATAGTAAAATTTAAAAAAACTCTCAAGTAAACGTGATAATTTCTCTGTTTTTCATGTAAACAAGCCTATTATACAATAATAGTCACAATTTATTTGCAACTAACAAATATCAAGACCTAGGAGACATATCATGTTCTAACTTTATATTGAGAAATCTAAAAGCGGAAAAATATTGTACTTTATTAACCATTTGTTACAAAATATGTTTTTAATAATGACAACTATTTTTTAATTTCAATATTAAATTAAACATATATAATTATAAATTTTAAGTTTTGACATAATGCATGAATAATTAATGTTCACTATTTATATTAAATAAAATTTTATTACTTTTTTTTTTAATATCTTAGTTTTCATTATGAAAAATATATAGTTATTTTACGTTTTAATTAATTTTTAAAGTATCATTTAGAAATTCAAATAAAAATGAAATAAAAGCCATTTATAAAAATATTAAAGCAATCTTATTTGCAGCTACAATAAAACTACGTCACCCTGTTAAAATAATGTTTATAAAGTAATTCACTATCTAATTCAATCTATTTATATAATCTGCCGTTTTTTTTTTTATTTATTTAAAATTCTGATTGCAAACTATAAAAGAAAGAAAACATTGTACTCTTATAACGTTATAAATAAGAATTAATTTTACAGTTTATCTTCCACTTTAGCACGCATGTTTTATAGTACTCAACATTGGTTGGCTAGTTACCAATGTGGTATTATTAGTGAAAGTTTATGTAAAAATCCGTACCATAAATTCTAATGACTTTTCGTCAAACTTATATTGTAACATCATACTTTGCAAGTGGGCTTTTTATATATTGGCCTGTAACAACAACGTGGTTTGCCACTTGCATAACGACTAGCTAGAGTAGCAAGGGTCGCCACCACCTAGGCGAGGTGTCACACCTATCAGATATGATTACCGGACCATAGGTGGAATTTAATTTTAAGTTAATTAAAAGTACAATCTAAGTTAATACGTCGTTATATGTATAAATTACTATAATGCCTCGTGGTTTATAGAACACAATTAAGACAATCAAAGTTGTATGTGGTTGATATGTAAAACATACCGTAGCCCGTGTCTAGATTAAGGAATAGGAATGAAATACACGCGAGTAATTAAGTTACTCGCGCAATAAAATAAATATTACAGTTGAAATTAATAAGGAAATTTAATTTAATTGTTAAAAAAAGAAAATTAAGTTAAACATGGACAAAAATGCGAATGCATCAAAAACCATGTCTACAAATAAAGGCAATACAAATAAAATAAAATATTTAAACAAATAATATTACAAACATCACGGACGGTATTGGAACACATCCGTTAATGTTAACCGGAAATTAATGAAGAACACCAGGAGCGGTCTGGACACTCGCTCCTTAGCGTTGGCTAAAAGAAAAGGGAAACACGTGCTCTCCACACATAAACAAAATTAAGTTAATTTACAATAAAATAAAATTAAATAAAATAATTAATAAAATATAGCTCATTACATAAATATAATATAAAAAAGAAAACGATACCCGGTCTCCGAAGAGACCCATCCGATGGTCTGGATGCTTCGCCGAAAAGACCTGGCCGTTTGCCGTTGGCGGCTCTACTCCATCATTGAAAAATATGTCAATAAAACAACAAATGTGTGCACCCTAGCACGGTCAATGACAGAAGAAAGAATAGAGAAGAGTCAACACCGATCTAACGGCAATTTCAAAACGATAACGGCCAGTCTTTTTGGAAGGGATCAATACGATAACAATTCGATTTTAATTATATTTCTCTTTTATCGCCTTATCTAGCGGTCAGCGGTAAAATAATGAGTGGTTGACACCGCTGTGTCAGAAAAAGGTTCTTTTGCGCGATAAAATAAATAAGTAGACATAACAAAAAAATCATAAACGGTCCACCTTCGAATTTGTGACGTTACAACTTCCATAAAAATAAACATTTTAAATGTTGTCCTGTTGACCGTATGGTAAATATCCACAATTGGCGGCACACGTTTGCCAATAATATATTTGTTACCTATCTTACTCCCTTCTTTCTTCGAGTATCATACAGGTGAGTGTAACCGCTGTTCGGCATGACCAAATACCGGTTGCTGGTTCTGCCGACATCAGTTGTTAGTGGCACGCCGCGCTTAGTGAATGGTCGTCATCGAGGACTACAATGTGATCGCATAAAAAAGTGCCCGGCGAACGTGTTTTTATGTGCTCCGTCCTTTGTAGTGACGTCAAACGCCTGTCATACTGCAGGTGTCAGTGACTGTGCGATATGTCGAAGCTCAGAAGTCCGAAACGCCGATGGTCAGAACAAATTTCAGTATTATTTTCAATAACCATCGCTTTTTTACTGCAGACGAATATTATCGACGCCCAGTCAACAGGTACTAACCTCTTCGTATTGTTTGAACAGCCAAAACCCTTAAAAAACATTATAGCTAAAGTGTTATAAATATTCCTTGCACTAAAATATTACAGAATATTTCTAGAAATGATTTTTCTATGCGTACAATGCATTGTAATTAAAAATGTTACCATACCTAGTTCTGTTTCTTTTTCAAAATTAAAATAACCTAAACAAAATCTAATATTTAACACATAATTAGTTACGAAATCCGCGGGATTTTAATGATTCTACAATCATAGAAAATGAATTATTTTACAGTTTGTTAAAATACCTGTTCTAATTTGTTTAGATTAGTACGAATATCTATTTGTTTGCATAAAAACTATTAATTATATGCTTAGTCTTTTTTGAATTTTCAACTCGTAAAAAACATTTTAATTGTTTGTCGAGTATATTATGTTAACATTTTTCTACAAGTCATATTTTATCTTTAAGAAATAAATTGTACATAATTTACCTGTATTTTGACCTCAACGTATCCAAAGATCAACATACCATTTTGGTTAAATGATTCATTCGTTTTATTTTATCCTTGAAAATTGTCAACCCACATGCCTAAAGTACAAATGAACTAAGTAAAATTAAATATTGCTAACCACTTTATGTAGCATACAATAGTAAGTTTTGTAATATCAATAATAAACTGGATAAATATGATTTTAAATGTATTGTAATGAAAGTAATTAATGGAATCGAAAATGAATGATTTATTATGTAAGGCCATTGGTATTAGATTTGTATACTATTATTTATAATGACTTTGATGTGAGTATAAAAGACGAGCGAATTAGAATGTTTAGTATTGGTGATATATTGACTTTTATTGTCTAGTAATGTTATATTAATTATTATTTACTAAAATTTAAATTTTAGTTTTAATTTTTTGAAAATTCGCAACGCTTAAACGTGTTCATAATTTTAAAGACATTTCATTTTTTTTTTTTTTTGAAAACTATATGAGTATAAAAGTGAAACGATGACAGGAACAGAAAGTCAGTGAATGTTTAAGTTATTGGTCAAACTTTTATCTGACAAATTAATGATTTTCACTTTCCTATGCGCTTTTTTTTCAATACATGCAAGCCAGTATTCAGTGACATACTGACGGGTAAATCACTGGAGTAATAATATTTTTGACCTTATATTCATATATAGTAGTTTCAACAAACGTGTGATTAAATTAATTTTCTATTTTATGCTCAATAAATTTTGACATTTTGACTCCAAACGAATACAGTTTTATAAAAATTAAAACTAAAATAATCATTAGAAATATTGGCGGTTGCACTTTTAAACGTGTCTAAGCAGAACCGGTTACAAGATAAAACAATAGATTACCATGGCATATTATTGGTTGTATAAAAATCGTTTTTTTTCTAACACTTAAAAAATTTGTTCCACTTGTTGCGTCAGTTTCAATGTTAATTGTTTCGACTTAATACATTAATCAGACGGATATAAAAAGTTCTCTAGACCATGTACACTGTTACTATTAGGTGTATATTTTATTTCGCCTCGTATAATCGAAATAGTGCACATATAGGTTAAATTATAACGGGCATTAATGAAAACATAGTTTCATAAAAGTAATTTAAGTTCTAACAGAAAGTAGTCTAGATTCACCATACAACTTTTTACAACAGCGTTATTAAATAACAATGAATAGTAAAAGTCTATATAACATAATCACTAATTTATTCGATTTCTTATTGACATTATTAGACTCATTCTAGCGAATCAACCACCTAAGACGGTTGGCCTTCGTAGTTTCAACATAGCTAATAATAATTTATTTTATGGGTTTATAATAAATAAGTAATTTATAAAAAGTCTCATACGCGTGTCATAATATCAGTTTATAATGCAATTTTATTTTTTATATAATAGCATGTAATGTTAATATAATTTTTATGGGCTCCATTAATATACATAATTTATTAAATAAATATAACTTTTACGGCTCATTAAAGTATCCGCGTAGTTTAAATTATTCAATTACCGTTGTAAATAAAAATTTCAAAACTACATGAAAGTCTATTTTATCAATTACAGTAGGAAAAACCTCACAATTTAAAATGGCACGTTAACGAATTAATTTATTATAATATTATAAGCTCTTAAGCATATTTAAAACTAATCTCAGCGATCCGTGTCACAGTAATATGTTCAACAAATAATTATAATATATCACACGAAGTTTGTCTTGCTTTGTAAAATTGTAACAATTCGCTCTAAAAACAATAGAAATTAAACATGGTTCGGTGACAACGTCGTGGTATAAAACCTACTACCGACTTGTATTATACGCACATTGATAATACACTATTTATATTTTGTATACAATATGTGCACACGTTGTTCTTATGGTAGCAAAACTAAACTTTCACATTCGTTAGACCGTTATAGACTGTTTTGTAAGATCCGCACATTTCATTTGTTTCGGAAGCAGTAACCTGAACCGAATGCATACCAATGATTAAACTCCAATAACAAAAACAGCCCACAGACAACCTATTAAATTTTAAACATTGTTTGATCGATTTATTTGGTTAATATTATTTCGTAAACATTACACTAAGATTACGGATCGTATCTCAAATTATTATCATAGTTCTTTTTTCAACTATAGAATTCTGTTTGCATACGCGCATTTAAGTCTTCTGAAGAAAAATATCTAATTATCTATTGCAATGAAGTAATGTTTAAGTTTTCAATTATTATTTCATTCGAAAAGAATGATTACATTAATAACAAAACAATTTTTTTTTCTGATAAAATAATTATATTTTAAATGTAATTTTTAATCAAGTTTTATTTAATAACTTTTTGTACATGAATGATTGAATAACGATAATAAACTTGCATGTTGTATCATCGATTCTCATAACAAATTCACCTGACGATCGAGCCATTATTAATCAGTGATTAAATCTTAGACATTGTGGTTAAGCAGTTATTCAACCATAAATAACCACCAAAATAACAAATAGAATCTTAAAATAGGAAAAAGAAATTTTGAAGTCCATTAATATTCGTGATAATATATAAAAATGAAAAAAATAAGTAATATCCTCCGAAAACGACTTCTAGTTTAAATTTCTTTTAATTCTCAAATTATTAATACTGTGATTTTTTTTGGTAATTTATTAATCATTTATTTAACATCATGGAAGTAGGTTTTTTAATACCTCTCGGAAACTATATAATTTTTGTATTGGTTTTGTNATTTGAAGTCCATTAATATTCGTGATAATATATAAAAATTAAAAAAATAAGTAATATCCTCCGAAAATGACTTCTAGTTTAAATTTCTTTTAATTCTCAAATTATTAATACTGTGATTTTTTTTGGTAATTTATTAATCATTTATTTAACATCATGGAAGTAGGTTTTTTAATACCTCTCGGAAACTATATAATTTTTGTATTGGTTTTGTTGTCCTCATAAAAAGTTATACTGTATTATATTTCTCGTTTATAGTATTGAAGTATGTTGAACAATAAATACAATAGATTCAGAAAGATTTCATGATGTTTTCAAGTTACTCTGCACTGTAGTGCAATTATATACCAATTTCGGTACACGCTTTTTCTAATCCAATACTCACGCATGTCTTTTATACATAATGATAAAAAATAATTCCGTGGTCGACAACACAGCGTACGTTCTTAAAAATTGCTTACGTCTAGAAGTCTTTGATTGACCGTCAAAAATAATATAGTCTTCTGACACTTGAAAATACAAACGCGGTTCAATCTCCTTAACGGATAGTACTTACATTTATCCATCTGTAAATTCAGAGACATTCTTCAATCAAACGCGATTGTTACATTCATATAGAAGATTCTTTATTGGTCCTGAGTGAGTCAAAACGAAAGTTGGCAATTATTACAAATCTGCATTGAAGACACATTTTTCAAATGCCTTATTTTACATCTGTATTCATGACTATAACACTTAACATTGTGCAGTTATTAAATGTATATTATTATAATATGTAAAAGAATATTTGATAATTAAAATTCTTTAAACCATAGGTTCTTCCGGTGAATGTATTTTAATGAAAACGAATTGTATTACTTCACATAGTACTAACAACAGATGTGGGTGATCATCAAAAAATAAAATTTAAGTTACTAATGTAAAAACGTGGTAGTAAAATTTATGTTATTCTAAAACGCAACCATAAAAAAATTAACTGCAGAATTGTTTTATATTGGCAGAACAGAACAGATATTTTTAAATAATTTCAGCTGTTATTTTAACTGTTAAATTACAAATTTAATTATTTTTCAAAAACAGATGTTGTTGACATAAAAAAAAATAGAACGTTTGCGTAAATAAAAATCGAAATATTAAGTTAATGACTACTGTATCTAAGAGGTGATTGGTTGAAAGTGACAGGTGGTTGTCATAGACTATAATTTATTTTTTTTAGATATTTTACGGATCAGAAATTTAACCATACTTTTGTCTTTTTAGACATGAATTAGTAGTATAAAGCAACCAAGTTATCAACTGTATCTTAATATCAATTCGATAATGTTATAATATTTAATGGAATAACTTAAAAAATTTATAATATCTGACCAAGTTCAAATTGAAAAAAATTGAAATCAATCCATGCAAAAGCAATTTAAAAAATAATAATAAAACATCAGATATTTATTTTTTATCTTCATAATTATTATTATAATTTTTTTTTTTTTTGTGAACGTATATTTATGT